TGATCGACTGCGCAGAGGTCCACCTGAATGCTGATTGGTCTCCCACAAACGGCTGGAAGGGGCTGGCGTGATGGCTGTTTTTCACCACCACTATGCCAGCATGCAACGGGATATTCGCACTCGTACACACAAACGTGTGGACGCTCGCCAACACACGGAATCGGATTGGCTAACGTGTGGTGCATACGTGTTTGCGCACCGACCTGATGCTGTCCGGCCCTATTCCCGACGGTAACAGCAGCGGCAGAGGATCATTCGGCCAGATTGCTTTCAGTGTGCGTGATTCCTTCTTCGCGTTTCATCCACCTCTTTCTTCCATATTTTTCTCACAGCCTCCGTTGAAACATGGACGCCATCAAGAAGAAGATGCTTGCCATGAAGATGGAAAGGGAGAATGCCATGGAAAAGTAAGCTTCTTTTCACCGGCTTCTAACCGTCAAATTAGGGCTGTCAATCTGGAAAATCAATTGAAGGAGAAGGCTAACGAGTTTGAGAAGAAGGAAGAGGAGATGAATGAGCTGCAGTCGAAGTTAAAGAATGCCCAGACGGATGTGGACACTGTTCAGGAGTCGCTCCAGGAGGCCATTGTCAAACTGGAGGAGACGGATAAGCGCGCAACCAATGTAAGTCACCCGTTCTTGTACATATTTTTGAATATTAAATCTCATACCGGGATACCCAAAATGCGGCACCGATCCGCAAGCGGGGAACTTGTTACGGATACTTTAGAGATTAAACAGCTAGCTCTTAGTCCCGTGGTGGTTTTGCATCTATTTTGCAAAGGGAAAAAATATTCTAAAATAATGTACCATCTGATCGTAGGCGAAACAGAGAAGACCTCCTTCAGAGCAAAAGCCTAGCTTGTGGTTCAGTTTCCGCCAAGCATAAAACAAATTATTTAAATAGTACTGTCTCTGCCACAAAATAACATTATTAGTTGACCATGAAGTAGTCATTTACATGAAAAAGCCTCGGGTTTTCATGGACCATTCATTCCGTCTCACGCATTTTAATAAACTTTAAGGTTCACTTCTTATCAAGCTGAATAATATGTGGCGGGTTTAAGAACAAAAGTTTCGATATTCTCAGAAATCTCTTAGTTTCAAAGAAATGCTATAATACCATGCAAAATTGCACCTTCTCTGCTAGAAGGTCATTGACCATTTCAGGTTCTGCTTCAGCAGTCGTAATTTCGAAAGACGGACCAGGGTTTTGAAGTAGGAGGAAGAGCGTGTCACTTTGATTGATAAAACTCCTAATTATGCTTACTTTATAGAAAAGCAAGGACTAGTATGTGCAAATTACTTACGCAGAACTAAGCATTCTCTTTTTATCCCCATTTGACAAGTGAAACTCTAAGGAAAAAATCGATACATCCTCTGCAAGCTATTCATTTCGGGCTCACTAACTTGTCACACAAAAATCTGTAAATCCATCCAATAGAAAACCAAAGTTAAAAACAGAAGGTAGATTTTGTCAGAGCACTTGATCTTGACTGGCATCAACAAGAAAAGGGAGGCCCGGTATTTTCAGCAAACACCCAAACTCTCCGAAACACCTAGATTGCCCATTGTGCGGTCCTGTTTTTAACAAAGTTTGAAATGGGCGACGAATTACCTTAAAATATTCATCCACTTAATTTGCAGAAAATCGATAATTCTATACGACATGTAGTTTGGAACGAATAGATGGGCTTTTAAAAGTGTCTTAAAGTAAGCTCCACAAGTCATGTAATAATGTAAAAGGTCATGAAGGATTGCTCCAGATGATCAACATTCTTTCGAACATGGACGTTACTTAATTTAGCTTGCAAATATTATTAAACATTATTATGACGCTGGCATAAATGTAGTCATACTACCCAGAGAAGGCGGGCACACACTTAATTTTCTATGTTTATTTTATAGCAATTAAGTCTGCCTTTAATCATATGCTCAGAAAGATGGCATTCGGGTTTTTTAGCCGCTGACACCTGCGCGTCTATCGATGCTGTTTTGAAGTATGTAACTAGAACCATGTATACTTCATTTGGGAGATCGGTCATAGCAACGCAAAATGCTAAATTATCGTGTCTTAGATAACGTGTACAGTGTGTACTTAGGACTAAGTGGACACAAGCGGAATAAGAGTTGCGTTTAGGCGTATGCAGGATTGAGAGGAACTTTCAAGAGTGCCATACAAATTAAGCTCATAAGCAAAGTCCCGGAAGGACCGCTTATTCCATAAAACGCGTATAGCAATGAGCGTTTTGCACATACTTTCCGAGGAATATGGTATAATTTACTCAAACGTAGAAAAATTGTGGAAAATCCACGCAACCTGAGCAGTTTTTTTTCACGGTTGACGCATACGAGTAGAAAGACGCGTAAACATATATCAACATCCCATCATGCGTTACTAATTGTTTTGAATATATTCCATGTTAATTAGTATTACAACTTCAATTGAGCACTCATTTGTTTTCTCGTTCGAAAATATATTAAAAAGTTTCCGGCAGTATTTAATGAATTTCAGCATCTATCTATCGCTAAGGAAAATTGAGATTTTACCTAAGATTTTAAATTACTTATGCATGACTTAGAAAAAACACAACTAACAAGTAAATGAAATAAAGGGAGGGGATAATTTTCATAAATAGGACCCTTCGATCCATAACATCAACTATATATTACAGGGACGGCATTTTATACAAAGGTAAGTCTGAAAACGCCTTGCAGACCAGAGGTTATACGAAAGTCCACTTTTGACTTCTGATTATGAAAGTCGTATGCAGACACTTTAAACACCAGGACTGAATTGAGAACGCCCACGTACTTTATGTGAAAATGCGCAAACTGCTAGTGCTGCTGGTTACTTCTTCCCATAGTTGTCGAAAATCACAAGCTATCGATCGAGCTCCCTTAACATCCGGTTTCTGAGAGTTTTGGAAATTTATGAGTACGAAGAGTTATGCATACCAGTTCATACGGCGTGGCCCACTAAGGTTTGCAACTGCTTTCGGTTGCTGGGAAAAGTGCAGTACAGAAAACAACTACTGTAGTAGTAGCACGTCTTCAATTATCTCTTTTGATGAATAATCGATTTAATTCCAAACCGACGGGTAAGAGACCAGTACGAAACGGACGTACGTACGTTTTCGATTAATCGTAGTGAGATTCGTTAAATTAACACGATACAGCAAATGTTTCCCTACTACCCTTACAACCTTTGTTTTGTGGGCAGCTTACATTGACATTTCAATGACTGTCCGCAGCTTACTGAATATTGGTTTTAATTCACGACAGCTTTCCTAGATGCCTGTATGATTTATACGCTTGGGAATTCATTGGCATTGTATCCTATGATCACCTAGATCCATTGAACAAAAGATTTGTTAATATGGGTTTTTCGGCAGGTTTGAATAATTCACGATTTGGGCAAAGGTTCTCATTTCAGTAAGTGTATAGTTTGAGAAGAAGAAGCTTTGTAGAACACCGGAATCATGGTTTTATTAGTCTGAGCTTTCAGGCTCCTGCAGGAGTCCACCGTCAGAGATGGAAAACAGCAACAAATGGGGTAGCTAGTTGTGGCGTGTGTACAAACAACTAAAATTTGAACGTGTAGAAAAGCAATCATTGTATGGTGTGGACGCCGACTGGCCACTGCGGACTATGTGAGTCTGTGCAAGTAGGCGAGATCCTAAACTATGTATTGAATAATTCATCCAACTCAGTTGTGGAAAAATGGGCGGCAAGTCTGGTTAAAGTCACGGTTCCTGGTGGGGTCTTGTAACGCAGGTGGTAAGAGCGTTGGCTGTGCCTGTCTGTCATGGGACCAAATACCGCCGAGGACTACGGCATTTTCACAGTTGGATCAGATAAGTTAATTTGTTAGGCAAAGTATACTTTTCGGCAAATCATCTTCAGGGC